GGCAAGTTTTGGCTTGGACCAGTTTCATATCCTCAACAGCTCACATCTGATTGGGGCTCTTCAATCTCTGAAAGTGAAAATTTTAAGAATTTCACTCTGGATCCAAAAACCACATACCCAGACAGCCAAGAATAAATATAATGATTTGAACAGCAAATATTCATTGAGCATCTAGGATCACAACCTCTTCACACAAAGACTCACTGGATCCTTACAGCAAACCTCAGAAGTGGGTACCACTTATGCCCATTTTTATGGATGAGGAAACCGAGGCACAGCAAGTGAAAGTGACTCCTTTCTGCTCACACTGCTGGTAAGAAGCAGGGCTGCAATTCAGTCATTGTCCAACGTGACTCTGGAGGCCACTGAGGTCAAAGGCTAGGGCCTGGGAATCTCCTTCTTCTGCAAGCATTTATGAACGTCCTGCTGCAGGTCAAGTTTGATCTAGGTGCTGGGACAGAGCCATGGAAGAGGTAGACAGGAACCAAATCATGCCATAAACAAATTTAAGGCCATGTGACCCACACCACAAAGTTGAACACATGGTTTGGGGGAAGGGTGACCTCCTCTGACATCCCTTGTTCTGTCAAGCCAGGGACACTTCTAGGGAGAAAAGATTTAGCTTCAGTCTGAGAGTTGAGTTGGATTTAATTAGGCAGAGACAGGGACCGACCCATAAAAGCCACTCTGCAAATGGCAGTTTTCTGAAAGCCAAGCAAGCTAGTGTGGCTCCTGCTTGGTTCCTCCTATGATGGGAGGTTCACTCCCTTACTCTTTTACTCAGCCCCAAGGGAAAGGTTTTAGTCAACCACCCTGGGGTGATGACCCACAAAGACATCCTCAGTCCCTTGGAAGACAGACTCCAAGGCACAGGCAGAGGAGGGCTCACGATGGAGTAGGGGCAGTGGTTCTGGGCAGCTTCCTGCCCATTTATACCCAGAGGAGGATAGAGGGCTATTGTTTCACTTGGATCCTCCCTATTACCTCCTCCCTAAGCGCTGTGAGCATCAGCTCATTCTCCAGGTGAGAAAATAGGTCTATCCTGAGGAAGCCGCTTCCTCAACCTGAACTTGGCTGAGACAGCTTCAGATCAGGGCTGCTCAAGGCAGGCCAAGTCTCAGCCCCTCCTGGAGGCCCAGGAAAGCCATGCAACTCCCTCCTCTCTGTCACACTGTTGCTTTCTGCCCGCACCCACACAAGGAGCGACGTCTGCCTGGGCCCCTCGCCCAGCTGCCCCCGCAGAATGGACCACGTGGTCCCCGTTCTGCAGCCAGCCAGCCCTCAGCAAACCCTGAGCGGCTTCCAGGAGCCTCGACCCGGCCGGCCGGCACCTTTCCCAGTTATTTATTTATTTTTTAAAATTATTTTTTTGGTAATAAGGAAAAGTCACTCTTTGCACAGAACAGACGGTATTTTCTTTGTTCCCCACAGAGCTCGCGCCTTCCATGGCATCCAGCCTGAGAGCGAAGCCAAGTTCTTTGCTTGTTCAGATGCCTTGTGAAGTTAAAAGCTGCTGGGAAAGTGGAGTTTGCGCCTCAGTTTCCCCAGCTCAGTTTCCCCCATGTTGGGGTGAGGCTGCGGCTGCAAGGCGGACTGTACCTTACGGAGAACTCACATCTGACCATCATCGATATAAACAGGTAACATGGCTTAGGTCACAGGAAAGGGTTTGGAGGGATGGGAGGGAGAGTAAGGTCCCTTCTAAGCCAGGGAGAATCAGAGTGGCTTCCTGGAGGAGGAGCAGCGGAGCTAAGCCAGGAAAATCAGGCAGAATGATGCTGCAGGGAGGGTCTTCCAGGTGGATGGAACAGCTTGGGCAAAGGCTCAGAGGGAGGTGGATTCTGATCTTGGCCTAGGAATGTCTCCAGAAGCAATCAGCCCCAGAATCCACCTAACTGTCCCTCCCTGGCAGCTCAGAAGTGTGACTCTTTTGGGGGGAAAGGACATGAAAGAATTGAGGAAAAGGAGATGTGAGCACTCCCAAGCCTCAGGAGATGAAAACCCCACACCTCCCAGGATGCTGGAAAACTCAAGCGTTAGGTCTGGAACTTCAGGGAACCCAGGTCTCAGCTCTAAGTCCCAATGCCTCTGCCCACGGACCCAACGTCCCTTTGCAATGGGATTGACAGGTGGGCCCCACCGGCAGGCTGGAGGCAGACAGTGTCAGAGTACCCAACAAAAAAGGTAATCTTGTAGTGAACAATTTCACATTTTTTCACCACATCAAAGATTCTACTTGTAGGTATCGCTGGTATCTGTCTCTCTCCTAACCTCTTACAGAATCAAAGCCTCTTTTCAAATTTACAGCCCTGACCGGGACAATGTGATGAAAAAATATGTGAAACTGTTCACTACAGATTAATAAATAAACACAAGTAAGCCTGTGCTTACTTTGTTCATGGGGTAATCTGCCCCTGGGGCCAGCTCAGCCACCCTCAAAGGACCTGCTTCTGAGCAGCTGCAGGAAGGGGTGTGCTCCCTGGGCCCGGAGGGGACAAACCCACAAACCCGGAGCTGCCGCCATTTAATGGGGCCTGGATATTGACAATCCCTCGCCCTATAACAATAGCATTAGTAATCATAACACCCAGTTTATGGACTTGTTTTTGAGGAGGCAGAAGTGGACATGGGCTGCGCATGCAGGATCAGGGCTGGGGGGAGGGCCGGAAGGCAGTCAGGCAGGATCCCGAAAGAGCAGGTGCTCCAGACCAACCCCATTAAGTGCCCACTGTTTGCCTGTTTCTCCTTGTTCCCCTCCCACCCCCTCCCTGTCCGGGTATCTCAGTTTTCCTGGCAACACCCAGGGATCCCCAAGCTGAATGGACTTGCCCCTGCCTACGACCGGACAGGGAGGAATCTGACCCTATGGCAAGCCTGAGGTGGTGACCCTGGGCAACAGGGCAACAATAGCAGTGAGTTGGAAGGTCAGGGTGGGCCCCCAGGTGGTGAGAGGAGGATGAGGACACCACCTCTGTTCATCTGTCCCTCAGTCTTCCGTGTCTTTGCATGTCTCTCTGTCTCTGGGTGTCTTTCTCATCCCGGATGTCTGTCCCCGTCTGTCTCTGTGCCCCACCCCCGCCCTCGCCCCCTCCCTGTGCTTCCTGTCCCCTTCCCCGGCCCTGGAGCGCGCTGGGCGGCCGG